CTTCAGCCCGTGACTAAAATGCCATAAAGTCACAGTTTGTCAATGTAGGAGTAGAGTAAAACACGTTTCATAAAGATGCATTGACAAGTTAACAAAATTTTGTAATTTGTATCTATAGTTATACTTTAACAGTACCTATACTTTTACATTACAATAAAACTTTTACAGAATTAATATTATAAATATAGAAAACTTAAAAATAATTATTTTAAATAGATTTTAATACTATATTATGTATCAAGTTTAATAAACGCCATTTTAGACTCAAATTCAATTTAGGCACGAGCGAGTGCTTAAATTAATGAGTGTCTAGAAAAGTTTATAAACGAGTTGTATATATATACTTTTTTATGACAAATACTTATTATTATCTAAATTTTTTTTATTAAATATTTGTATAGAGCGACATTAATAAAACAATAGGGGAATCTGTGTTACCGCCAAGTGTCAAATTTGTATGTGTTCGAAATGTATCCCTTGAAAATGATTTAACAACAGTTTTTCACAGTGAAAGTAAAGAAAATGTTTTATGAGAACTTATCGGTGGAGTCCGAGCCCGAATTTAAGTTATATTGGCGTTGATAAACTATTAAATGCTTTTGTATTTTTGTATTGAAATAATACAATAATTTTCACATTTAGTAATATTTTACAAGAAGGTCACTATATTTTAACTTAAAGCTAACTTCAGCCCGTGACTAAAACGCCATAAAGCCACAATTTGTCAATATGTATTTAAAAGGTCACTTAGTGTCATGAAAACTTACTTTAACAAAATTTAAACCCTTATAAAATCGCCGCCACTGAGCCAATTCAATTTTAATATGTATATATATATATGATCAAGAATTTTACCACAAAATTGTGGTGTACAAATTTTAAAATATTTTCTTTATTAGTTTATTTTAATGAATTTTTGACACTTTTTAACCATTCTAGTTCACCGCGGTGCACTTATTTTTCAATGCACAGTGGACTGGAATGAAAAAAAGTGGCCAAAGTCTATTGAAAAAGTTAATAAAGATATTATTATGAAATTTTAACACCATATATTTTTATATGAATTGATTGAGGTTGCTAGAAGTATATGAAGTCTTTATTAGTTGCAGATCTTGACATTTTTCTAGCATGATGTTCTCTAGATTATTTAAAGTCCTTGTTCCTAGACTCCTGAGCCTCCTCCGATAATTGTTCGATTGGTTAATAAAAATGTATAGTAATATCTGCCCCATGAATTATAATTGTATAAACTGAAGCAGGCATATAGTACCAACTATATACACATAAAGTCCAGCTGTCTGCAGTGCATAATTGTTAAATTTTTTCACATTTATTTCTTTTTCAGATGCCAATGCTTGTAAAATGAGCGCAAACCTCTTAATACATTACCATCTACTTTTGTTATACTTGATGTTTTGATCCTACGAGCTGTATAACCATCATTGGAAGTCCCTGCCATTTTTTGGGTATATCTATTATCAAGCCCGTTTTTTCCCTAAATTCAGCAGGTATTCGTAGTTTTCCAGATTTTTTAGACCCCATTCTTTCTCATCAGATTTGTAAGCATCTATAGATTTGGACGTACTCAGTGTGATTGAGTCAACATCTAAAGCATCCAAAGACTGTCCTTGATTTAAATGGAAGGTTATATGCGATGTGTAAGATACACTTTATAAACCTTATGGACGCGTGAAGACTTGAAAGGCTATATTCTAAAGCTTTTGGATCTAAATTTTTTCTGTAACTAGTATTCATTTCGGTTGGATTTGATTCACTAAGAACGCAAGAAGCTCCAGAAGGTGTTCCTGTTAACAACTGAGCAACCTTGCCATCCAAATTGTAGGCTTCAATGAAGTTCAAGTTCAAGTGGCGGCGCCAGGGGTGGGCGCCAAATTTTTTCCGCCCAACCGCTCGCCCAACCTGCTAAACTAAACATTTGAGCAAAAAATAGATATAGAGTCAATCCAAATGAAAACACCAAAAATGAATTTAAAAGTGCGCTGCATGATTTTTTATTTTGATGAAAAAATTTGAGGATGATCTTTTAGGTGTCAAATATGAAAATCCGTTGCCTTTTAATTTTTTGTTGCTTTACTTTTATTTGGCACCCCTTAGAAGTCTGAAATAGTGTCAATTTCTTACTCTCTTATAGTGGGCCAGAACTTTTTTCTGTGACAAATATTGAAATAATTTTAATTTTGTTTTACTGTCCAGTAAGTGTGTTTTCGATATAAATTATTATTATCCAATTAGTTAATCTCATAAAAGAATGGTAAACCACTAAAGATTCATGATAATTTGCCAATTTTTGTGATTTTTGTCTGGCTCCTGTGCCTATTCTACTGAATTTAGAATGTTCATTTTTTTCAGGTATAAAGTACTTATACAATAAAAAACGTAACTATTATTTTAAGTTTCTAGACTATCAATTTCTTTATTAAAAAAATTATTGAAAATTGATAATTCTCAAAATTAGCCAATTTTGCCCTCAGAAATCATTATGTTGAGGAAAAAATAAAAATCTGAAACTTTCAGGAAATGTAGTCCCCACCTTCATCTTTTTAGTCCAGTTAGTCTTGTTTTGTTATTTTTATTCCTTTAAAAGATATATTAATTTTTTTAATGCCCGTTTAGTAGCGATATTGTTAGTTTTATTTATAATTTAAAATTTAGATGGCTTTGACTTTGTCAATTCATGTTTGGTAGAGAAATGTCAGAACTGTCAAAAATATTTCATTAATTTTATTTGTGCTTATTTAAATTGTGATTTCAAAAAGTTTGCAAGTTTGCAAGTGTAATAAATGACGGAGTGTTCGAGATTCATGAATTTAATTGCAATTAAAAATGCAAGAACATATCATAATTTTGTACCTCTTTCTTATAGAAAATATTTAAGTTCTGAGAAGTTTTAAATTGTTAAAAATAAGCAAAAACCAAAAAATATTCTAAATAAACCCCTTTATTATAACATGTTTTATTTTAACCAGTTACCAAAAAACTAAAATTTAAAGAAGTATTTACAGATTGTGTAAATTTTTTCCAACACTAACATTTAAAATACATACATTTAACTATTTAGTGTCTTACTAAAGGGATCAAAATAATAGAACAAGACTCATAATTATTATTTGTGGTATTCCTTTGGTAATTTTAAAAAGTTTTGTACCTATATAACATAATATGACATATTATGTTATATACAAAATTTACCAAAGAAATACGCACAAATAATATTTATGAAATATTTTTGACAGTTCTGACACTTCTCCACCAAACATGAAAGCCATCTAAATTTTAAATTATGAATAAAACTAACAATATCGCTACTAAACGGCCATTAAAAAAATTAATATATCTTTTAAAGGAATAAAAATAACAAAACAAGACTAACTGGACTGAAAAGATGAAGGTTGGGACTACATTTCCTGAAAGTTTCAGATTTTTATTTTTTCCTCAACATAATGATTTCTGAGGGCAAAATTGGCCAATTTTGAGAATTATCAATTTTCAATAATTTTTTTAATAAAGAAATTGATAGTCTAGAAACTTGAAATAATAGTTACGTTTTCTATTGTATAAGTACTTTATACCTGAAAAAAAAATGAACCTTCTAAGTTCAGTAGAATAGGCACAGGAGCCAGACAAAAATCACAAAAATTGGCAAATTATCATGAATCTTTAGTGGTTTACCATTCTTTTATGAGATTAACTAATTGGATAATAATAATTTATATCGAAAACACACTTACTGGACAGTAAAACAAAATTAAAATTATTTCAATATTTGTCACAGAAAAAAAGTTCTGGCCCACTTTAAGAGAGTAAGAAATTGACAATATTTCAGACTTCTAAGGGGTGCCAAATAAAAGTAAAGCAACAAAAAATTAAAACGGCAACGGATTTTCATATTTGACACCTAAAAGATCATCATCAAATTTTTTCATCAAAATAAAAAATCACGCAGCGCACCCCATTTGGTGTTTTTATTTGGAATGACTCTATAGAGAAAAGTAGTTTTTTTAGATTGCTTTCAATATTATATCTAACTAACCGTTCCAATTTATGATTCAATCAACGTGTTTCCGGAATCACGAATTACAATAAACGTCCAAAAACGCACGCGTCTGGCCAAGATACATACACCTTAAGATAGGATGGTGCGCATGTTGGGCGGGGCTTAAATACGTCACTTGATGAGTGTTTTTTAATTATCTGCTGCTAAAATTCTTGTTTTTGCGATGCTTTTGGATGTTAACTTGCTCTATTTTTTGTTTAACTTGTTGTTTTTGTGTTCGGTAAGGTTCTAATTACTTTTCAGTGTTTAAATTATTGTTATTGCGTTGTGTTAACCTGTTGTGTTTGTTTATTATTGTTTTTGTGTTGCGTTAACTTGTTTTGTTTGTGTTTTAGTTTGTGTCGTGGCATATTTGAATGCAATTCGGACAACCAGTCCAAGAAAAACCCTTTAAATAAAAATATTAAATTTTATCGATTCCCGAAAAAGTTTGATTTGTGGAAACAGTGTTTAAATGCCACAAAAAGAATAGACAATATTAACGTTAAGACCGCTTCTGTTTCCTATAAACATTTTCTGGACAGTGACTATAAGTTTAATTTAAAACACCAACGCTTAAACTACAGCCCTAAATGTTATCAAGGACTAAAAGCATCTATTATCCATATTATAAAACTTTTTTCAATATTAAGTTTAATAAAAACGCACTATGTCTAGATATTTTCTTTGATAATATTACTATTATTCGTGTATTCTCACGGCAACTACTCATCAAGTGACGTCATGCGCGGGACGAACCAAAACTCGTACACGGGAGCATCCAGCCCTGACGCCTGGCCTTCGCTTACGAATTGACGAATCATAGCCGATTCAGCCGCGTGTTCTCGGTGGTCATGCGCTTGCGTGCGTTTGCCGCCTTCCACGCCTCGAGTTTGTCATTTTTATTTAATATTATTCGAGGTGAATTTTGAGTAAATACATTAAAATGAGCGCTAAAAAACGCACTATCAGTGACTTTTTTAAAACAAAACCAAGCACAAATTATTCATTAGAATTCAGTGAGGTAACTGAAACGGACGAAACGGTTGGTGATGCTGTTGCAGCAAATGCTGCAGGTGATTGTAAAAATGACAATATTGGAGAAGCCAGCTGCAGTTATCCCAAAAAAAGAAAGACACAGGGCCAGTTCCTGGAAGATGAGGTAGATGACACAGTTCACGATGTATCCACTTTAAGGTTGGACACGTAAGTTGGTTATTGTAATAAATAAAAGGTTGAAACCCTATTATTCTTCCTTAGGGTGCACAACAGCGATGCTGATGATAATCCTATGGCTCTGACTGATTTGGTCCAGTCCCTAGATGAACCTCCAAGGCAACCAGCTTTGCTGAGCTTCCCGAAAACAAGGTTTGGTTCTGATCTCCGATCTTTCAAAACAGACTTTTACAAAATCTATCCGTGGATCTAATACAGCATTTTAAAAGATGCTGTATTTTGTTATCCTTGTAGATTTTTTTCGAAGCAATGCACAGGGGCATCAAAAACTTTTATTTCTGAAGGTTACAAAAACTGGAAAAGAGCTACAGAAACAAAAGCTGGATTCAAATATCATAACAATAGCTTTCAACACAAAAGTGCTATGGTAGCTTGGCAATCTTTTAAAAGTACTAAAAATCAGCAGTCAGTAGCATCTCAAATAAGCACCGCGCATACTAAATTGATTCAACAAAATCGGGAATATATTAAATCTATTGTTCGATGTATAATTTATTTGTCTACCCAGGGTCTTGCTTTAAGAGGGCACGACGAATCCACGACGACTGGTCAAAACAGAGGTAATTTTTTGGAATTATTAGATCTGATATCACGTGACAATAAAATAATTGCAAAAAGGCTATTAGAGGGTCCAAAAAATGCGAAGTATACGCAGCATTCTATTCAAAATGAGCTGATACATTGTCTAGCTGAACTAACTAATAAACATATTAGTAATGAAGTCAAGGAGGCCCCTTATTTTGCCCTTATGGCTGACGAAACAAAAGACCCAAGTAAAACTGAGCAGCTATCAATAATAGTTAGATATTACTTAAACGGTGTGTTGTACGAGCGGTTTTTGGGCTATGAAGCAGCAGACAAATTAGATGCATCGTCACTTTTTCAGTTCATTAGGAAAAGGTTAAGTGAGTGTGAAATTGATATAAGTTGTTGCGTGGCGCAAACTTATAATGGAGCCAACGTTTATGAGAAGAAAGGTTAAGGGGGTACAAAAAGATTGTAATATTTTTTTTTTGTTCTTGAGAACCTTTATGTTTTTATTAGTGGATCTTCCGTACATAATGCGTTTTTACAAATACAAAAAGAACTACACCCGGGAGATAAACCAGTAGGACTAAAAAGACTTAGTGATACAAGGTGGACCTCACACATATCAAGCTGTATAGCTGTAAAAAAAACGCTACCAGCAATATTAATTTTATTAAACCAGTATATAACAGAAAATAACGTTCGCTCTCCAGAGGCAAACGGACTCTTGAACAATATTAATTTTACCTTTTTGTTCAATTTACAAGTTTTTTGTGAATTCTTGTCAAAAATAAAGAATGTTTCTGATTATTTACAAAGCAAAGATAGTGATATTTTAAGAAGTTTAACATTGGTGGAATCACTAAAACAGTTATTTGTATCATATAGAGAAGATTCTGAATTTGAGAAGATATGGACTGCAACTCTAGAAAACGCCTCGGCTAATAATATTAACTTAGATGATGTAAATAATAAAACATCAAACAAATTACCTTCTAAATTTAAAAATACCATAATCATCCAAAAAATTACCTCACTTGAAGAGGACAGATGTGTTACTGAAAAAACTGAATTTCAAGTTAAATTATATTATTCTATAATTGACCGAATCACTTCAGAACTTTGTCGGAGATTTGAGGAAAATGCTAGTGTTTTAAAAGGATTTAGTGCCTTAAACCCATCGAGTAATATATTTTTGAATTTAGAGCAAATAACTCCATTAGCTATCCATTATAGATGTGACGTAGCGTCTGTCGAAAATGAACTAAAATTACTACCAAAAACCATTAACAGGTATGAAATTAATCATAAAGTTAAAATAAGAAACTTATCAGATCTTGCAGTACTTCTGCAGGAATTCAATTTAGTATTTCACGAAATAAATAAATTGTGTAACATTGCCATAACCGTGCCCTCTTCAAGCGCCAGTTGTGAGAGGTCGTTTAGTGGCTTAAAAAAAATAAAAAACTATTTAAGGACTACAATGTAACAAGAGAGGCTCACAGATTTAGGAATATTGAAAAAAGAATTGTAAAAGCAAAGGACTTAGATAAAGTTGTAGATTCTTTTGCAATTAAACATAATAATAGAAAAATAGCGCTTTCCTAATCGACCTAAACGTTAGACTGTTATAGTTTCCGTGTAAAATAAATTTTGAAATAATTTGTGTGTTTTTTTTTTCGTTTTAGTTTGTATTTCACCTTTATTCACAAATCCGCAAAATATCTATAATTAGTGGGTACATTATACAATTTATACCTATTATCTGAAACATTATCTAGATACCTAAAACATATTTTTGCTGCCCACAATTCAAATTTTTCTGTCGGGTGTCGCCCAACTGGAAAGAAAAAGCTGGCGCCGCCACAGTTGCAAATCAGTTCATTGAATAAACTGATTTGCAACTATGTGGTTAAATTTCGTTTTCTTTGGTGTCTCTTTAGCATATTCAAACAATATGGGTCGTCAATAACTTGTTGAAGAAGGATTTCCATTTTTACAAATTATGTTTTTCTTCTCGACTTTTAATTATATGGGCCTAAACGAATACATTAATATACTGGAATCAGACGTATTGTCATCTGTACATTCTTAGAACTGTATACATATATGGTCCATAAGTTATTGAATTTTGACCTCAGCCTTTATTTCTCTGACTTCTAACTAGACAGGGTAACATTTTTCTAGAATGTGTTCATAGGCAGAAAACAATTTAGAATTGCCTTAATTTCTTATAGTCTGCTTTGGTTAAATTTAAATCGAGAAACAACGCCAAGGCCTCTCCTTTTGTAAAGGGAATTTCTCCTGATTTAGATGTCAAAGGTTCTATATTTTCTTTTTCACATTTATGGGTTGATTTATAAAGCTGATCAACGTCTTTAACACCTAATTGATTTTTTAGTTCTAATTTTTTCTTCTTCACCTTTGGGATAGGTCCACTAAATCCTTACTTGGCTTTCCGGGGAATACCTTTCTTGGGGTGTTTGAATTTGAAGTTTCGTTAGATTCAAGGAAGGGCTTTTCTAGTCAATATTTATTTTTAATTTGAAATCGTTTTTGTTGTAACTTTAATTTCGCAGGCGATACTTTGTAGTTATCTTGAAAGAGTAAGAGAAAATCAGTTATATTGTCAGTTTCAAATACAAAAGCTACTAAATCCTTATTGATAATATCAACCATAATATTGTTGTCAGGTGAATTTACAAAAAAATATTTATTTCCTATATATGTTAATATTTATATTAATTATAAACCTACCTAACACAAGATTTCATTATTCTTAAAAGTATTATAACAAGAAATTGAGCCGTCGGAAAAAAACCGTTTTTACGAAAAAAAAAAACGAAAATTTTTTTAGAAAAATTAACTTGTATTTTTTTCATTTTATTCCAAGGGTAATACTAAAAAATGCAAAAGTCAATTTTTCTGAAAATTTCCCAATTTTTACGGATAATATCCGTACACTGATTATAAATCGAGAAAAGAAAATCCGACACTGATTATAATCATAATATTATGATTATAATAATTATTGCTTTTATTTAAATTCAGTAAGAATATTCTACCGGGTCGCAAAGAAAACCTATTCGATGCTTTATATTAATCTAACTTTCGTTTTATCTGACACTTCGATTTATAAAATTATAATTGTGTAATGTAACTTTATAAATCATTCATTTTATTGTAATTGGAAATTTTCAATGGAATCCTTTTTGCAAAAAAGACCCAGCCGACAATTTATGTTTATTGTTTTAAATCAATTTATTTCAATTCGATGTTTTTTCTCTGTAATAAAAGTTATTTTTTTAAATTGAAATATTGTCAAGGTGTTAATTGCTACTGTTTTTAAAATGTGTATATTTTTTTTCCAAAAAAAAGCCAATTTTTCTAAGGCCTGGGAAAAAACGAAAAAAAAAACCAGTTTTTTTCCCCAATTTTTTCATTTTTTTTTTCGACACTAGCCTTTAACTACTCGCGCCAATTTTTGTAACATAAGTGGTCGCGCGGTGCACTGAGTGCTCTGCTCCTTAAAATGGCTATATTGCGGAATGTTTTCAATTTTAATATTACTTCTGGTTACATTCGGATGAATAAACTCTATTTCTATTTAAACACAATATTTATTTAAAAAAAATAAAAAGCAAAAAATAAAACAAACAAAAATGTTATTACTTCTACTCAGAAAAGAAGAAATCAGAAGGAAATTTGGCCGTTCTTTTTTTATTTGTGTATTCTCATAAAAATCATTATGTTTTAAATTCTACATTTTGTTGATTTGGAAATATTTTACATTACAAAAATTTAAATTTAGTTACGTTTTAGTGAAGTATTTCTAAATCAATCTCAAGCTTTCTGTCCATAACTTTGAAATCAATAGTTTAAACTGAATATGCCGTCGACAGTGCATGGTAGACACATCAGTCATAGGTTACATGGAAAGGGCATTTAACTCCAAGAAAACGACAAAAAGTTAGAGAGGTTTTAATAAAAACGAAGCACTCAGTGCACCTGCGTGACTAGTTAAGGGTTAAAATCCTAACCTTAACCATAAAAATATTATATTATAATCCTTATTCTTCCCCATCTATTGTAATATACTATACTATACTATATTATATAGTTACCTAACAATAATAAGTATTGTTACCTATATTTATTACAATAATTACACTGTGCTAGTTCAAAAACCTAACAAGCGGGGTACCAAGGGGGATTCCCTAATTTGAGTACGCTGAATCTAATGGTGTTTTTTTAGGTTAGCTTTTGTTTTCGAGATATTTTAGATTTAAATTGTAGACCCAAGAACCACAAAAAAACATTATTTTCCCATTTTTAGATCATTTATTGAATATAAATTTATGAAAACAGTTTCCCATTTAATTAACATGGGAAAAAATAATTTTATGTTTGGAATTTTATACCTCTCTATCAAAGTAACTTATGGCAATGATCATTGCAGTTTTTATATAAAATGCAACGCTCTACAAAAAAGGCCTCTTATTATTTTTCAATAAATTGATTTTATATCAGTAAATGGTTTTAAAATGAGAAAAATAATGTTCTTTTGTGATGCTTGGATCCACAATTTAAATCTAAAATATCTCGAAAACAAGAGCTAACCTAAAAAAGCGACTAGTACCATTGGATTTAGCGTATTCGATTTAGGTAATCCCCCTGGGTGCCCTGCTTGTTAGAAAAAAAAAGTTTCCGATTCGAGCACAGTGTTATTATTGTATACCTACATTTTTAAAAATAGAAAATTATTCGGAAATTAACTTGAATAGTTTTAAAGAAAAATTATCAATTTTGCTTAAGGTAGTTGTCGTGGTACAATATTGTCAAAAATTTTTAGATTATACGCACCGTAAAAGTATACGAGCTTGTAGCTAAATGATTCATAATTTTTTCCCAAGACTGTATCCTGGATACATTACCTCTACGTAATACTTTCAAATATTTTCATAAGTTTTAATCCAGCAACGTCGCTTATGCTCAACCAATAGATACAGACTGTATAGAATCAAGTAAGTAAGGCTGGAGACAAGGATGACAAATTATATTCTGATCAGAGAAAAAGAAACAAACTTTAATTGGGCGTGGTTTAAACCAAGCCATTCCTAATTACGAACCATAGTTGCCAGGTTGTTTTAAATCAGAAGAGAAAGATTATAATTATTTAATAAATAGTTCAATTTTATTTGTTTGAAACTTTAAAAATAACAAAAAAATTAATAATATGTCAAAAATAATTTGATTTAGTTAATTTTCTTACTTTTAATATTAAAAAATAAGAAAAACAATCCTTTTAGGAAACAATAATAGCATATGGCAACAGCGCGGCATGCAGCCATGCACTTTGATCTACTGTGTTTGTTCAGTACAAGATACATACACCTTAAGATAGGATGGTGCGCATGTTGGGCGGGGCTTAATGACGTCACTTGATGAGTGTTT